CAAAAGTTTATTTTCTAAAGTATTCAAAATGCAAAAACAGAATAAAATGAAAAGTAAACCTTCCTGTTATTATTTCCCAGTAATCCGGTTCTACTCCCCAGAGGCAATCAGGCAGCCATTGCTACCAGTTTATTCTCTCTCCACCCGGAGAGATTCTATTCCTAGCCGTTTGGAGGTGAGAAAACCAGTTGTAGCAGACAACATATATTAGGGTCTGGACTTTTAAAAAAATTATGTGTATGTATATTATATATACTCATATATAATGTTTAAATGTTTAAATTATTGAATGAAGGGTATTTTGCTTTCTGATGCATTCTCTTCCTGGCCAGAGGAATATAGTATCTTAGTCTCTCAGGCTGCGGTAACAAAATACCATAGACTGGGTAGCTCACAAACAACAGAAATTTATTTCTCATAATACTGGGGACTAGGAAGTCCAAGATCAGGGTACCAGCAAATTCTGTGTTTGCTGAGGACCTGCTTCTTCAGGGAAGGCCATCTTCTCCCTGTAACCTCATGTGGCAGAATGGGGAGGGATCTCTGGAGTCTCTTTATAAGGGCTCTAATCCCATTCTTGAGGACTCCACTCTTATGACCTAATGACTGCCCAAAGGCCCCACCTCTTAATACCATCACCTTGGGATTAGGACATATGAATTTTGGGGGATATAAATATTTAGTCCATCGAAAAAAAATTTTTAGCTTAGGCTATATTCTCACATATCATTTACTTCTGTTCTTTTGACAAAAGCTGTATGACATGTAAAATTAAACTTTCTGACAGTTCCCTGGAGTACAGTTTATGCTGACTGAAGCAAAATCTATACCTTTATATCTCCACCCTTGTTCAGCAAAGTTAGTATTTTTGATGTCATCCTTATGTGATCTTTACAAAATCTAAATTATCTAATTCATAGGCTGATGTATGCAGCCAAAAATCATGATTTTAGTAGAATGTTTAGCAGTTACATAAGACACTTGTGGATAATTTGCTCATAAGGTTGCTTGTTCCATAGGCACTACTTTAGTTTACAATATTACAAAATTAACTTTGATTACAAAAAAATTACTATCTCCATTTTTATATTTTTTATACCTTTTAGAAGCCACACTTGTCTAGAAGTCTTGTATAAACCCTGCTACCCCATTATTCTGGGGACTTCTTTTATAGTTCTTACTTATCTACTTTTATTAGAATTCATTCTTTGAGGGTTGGTTATTACATAGTTGTTAGGTTCTCAGTTCTGAAGGCAGACAGACCTGAGTTCAAATTCTGGCTTTGCCACTTCATGCAACAAGACCTTGGTTAAGGTACTTCATCTCTCTAAGCCTGTTTTTTTGCTTTGTAAAATGTGATTGATAATAGAACCTTCATAGAGTTGTGGCAAAGATAACGTGAATTATGCATGTAAAGTACCTAACGCAATGCAACTTCATTCTACTATTTATAATATGCATCATTTCTTTGGCAGTATCTTGGATTTGGAACCCCTTCTAATCTGGGAAAAGGCAGAAGGGCTGCAGCTGCTGCAGACCTTGCTAATCGAAGTGGAGAATCAAATACTCACCAAGACATTGAAGAAAAAGATCGGTTATTACGTCACGTGGAAGCCAGAGATCTCATTGAATTTGGCATGATTCCTGAGTTTGTGGGACGATTGCCTGTGGTAGTTCCTTTGCATAGCCTAGATGAGAAAACACTTGTACAAATACTGACTGAGCCACGTAATGCTGTTATTCCTCAGTACCAGGCCTTATTCAGCATGGATAAGGTTAGATTTTTATTTTTCATACCTAGTTAATGATGATTTTCTTCCTATTGAAATTCTACATAAATTAGCCTAACAAATTAAAAAGGAATCCTGCTCATCTAGAATACCAGCCTATTCCACACTAAATATGGACCTAGGAATCAAGGAAGGCACATTATGTTACATTAGAATTTAAGATTTGCCTTTATTTCTTCTGCATTAAAGTCATCATTGTAGCATAAAGCCCAAGTATAGAGAAATGATGCCATCAGTCTACCCCAGCCCCTTCAAGCCAGACACACAGGATTGTCCTTTCAGCCTTGAAATTCTAAATGCTTTTGTTGTGACATACTATATATACTTTTGTGTAGGTAAAGTTTTATTAACTCTCACATCTGCATCTCTGTAGCCAGACACCTGGAGGTCACTGTAGCCCACACAACCAATCAGATAGCAGATGATTTGGGTTTTATGAACTTAGTGTCTCTAAATATCAATTTCCTCCTTTCCATTGTCACTGCCACAAGTCAAGCCCCTTTATCATTCTTCACCTTGACCCATGCATTTGCTTCCTAATTGGTCTGCCTGACTCTAGTCTGTGTCTGACCTCCACCACCAAAATATCATTATCTTCTTCTTTACTTCCAGAATGGATCACTTAAAAATTGAGCACAGTTCCCAGCAAATAGATATTAAATTCTCAATAAGTATTTGTTGAATGAATAAACACAAGGCTCATTCTTTGACTCCCCTGCTTAAAATCTTTCAGTGGTCTTATTTAGATGACCCCACTTTGGTGCTCCATTAGCACCATGTGCATACACTGGATGTAAGTGCTAGTTTACTAATCTGTCACCACTCAATAGACTGTAAGTTGCTTGAGGGCAAAGATGTCTAAATTATCATTCAGTCGTAATATGTAAAGATACAGGTCTAATAAAGGTTGAACAAAGTTCATTTTCATCTAGAATACCTCTTCAAGCTTAAGAACAAATTTGTGACTCATAGTACTGATACTATCATAGGTTAATTGATATAGAAACGAATGCTTTTTAAAGGCAGAGTTCTAAAACACTATGAGAAATAGTCACTTCACTTTTATATTACATTTTCTGGAGGTAGAAATTAATAAGCAAAGCTATTTTAATATTTAATACCAAGATCTTATGAAATCTGTTCAAGTATTTTGTGATTTTTTTTTAAATATAATCTCAATATTTGAACTCTACTATTATGAAATTTGTGGTAATTTAAAGAGATTTGTCTGAAGTTTTACCTTTGTTGTATAGGGCGAAAGGGTTAGTAACACTCTTTAAAATGTAGTTAGTTATAGGGACCCAATGAAGATTTTCTGGGAGGAAAGTGATAAAGTCTAAGTGATACTTTAATCTGAAAGGAGATGGGGTCAGTTAAGACATAGAGATTCTGACCCTGCCTGTGTTTCTGAGTATCGTTGAATCAGTTTACTTAACCCTCTGGAACTTATTTTCTTAACTATGATTTCAGGGTACTGGTTTTTTTTAGTTTTAAAATTCTGTGATTCTAAGAAGACCAGCGGTGGTGATAGGTAGTAATAGTTAATGGATCAAATGCTATATGGTTATATTACAAAAATACTATAAAGGATTATCTAAGTTCTCACTTATTTTTAATGTATTTATAGTGTGAACTGAATGTTACTGAGGATGCTTTGAAAGCTATAGCCAGATTGGCACTAGAACGAAAAACAGGTGCACGAGGCCTTCGGTCCATAATGGTAAGTTGGCATTATTCTACAAAAACTAGATTATTTCTTGGTCTGGGTTTTGAGAATATTAAGGTTCTCTGTTTTCCTTTTGGAAATATATCTAGAGAATTGGCCTAATTCTTTATGATGTTGTTTTTATGTTTTTCGTTTTTATGATTTTGGTTTTTTGACACAGTAGATTATATTTTGCTTCTTTCCAAAAAGAAAAGGTGTTTGCAACAAAGGACACACACATAATATGATTAATGAAATAGAAAATCAGGATCATGGGAAGGAGAATTTCAAGAAATTCTATATGGGCCTCAGAGCCCTTTCTCAGACCTATTGAAATCCCCATTCTTGTTTGTTTATTTGTTTGAAAGTAGGTTGCAGGTACCGTATTTTACCCCTAAGTTCTTCAGTATGGTATGAACTCATCGCTGGTTTTGTTTTTTGAGACAGGGACCCAGGCTGGAGTGCAGTGGCCCCATCGTACGTAGCTCACTGCAGCCTCCAGCTCCTGAGTTCAAGCAATCCTCCAGCCTCAGCA